AAAAATTAGACTTACATTAGAGGCCAAGGTTCTTTTATAAAGAGGCTCTTTTACAAAGAATTGCTTCCCTCCTTACCTCGGGCTCTCTGGACAGACATTGTCTGGATGAATCCCTCTTAATGATAATACTCTGGACCCCCAAAGGGGTCCTAGGTGTGATTTGGCAGACCGATCCACTTATGTGACTGCATCAAGTCCATTCTGACTTACATAAGATCACCTCCAAGTTCAAACTTTCCTTCCATTTAGCCCTCAAAGCTAGAAACCTAACAAGAAGAACATACAATAGAGAGCCTGACAAAATTATTCTTCCCCTTTCACTCTGCTACTCACAGTCATTATGGGCAGACTCCATTAACTTCCAGGAGATGGTCTCTGGGTATACTGGAACTCTTGATAATCACCCCCCTCAGGATAAGAGATTAACAGCTTTATGTTATTTCCCCATTGAAATTAAACCTCATAGTACCCCTAGCGCATCCCCAATCCCACATGCAAAATGGCATTCTCGGACTCCAACAAACTTAGATTTGGAGTCTTCTCCAGCACCCAGGCAAAGAAGACTTCACTTATATAATCCCTAACCGTGGCTCAGTACAGTTGGAGGAACTCCTAGGACTTCTAAAAATCTTCATGGAATGTCAGTCAGAGCCTGTCAACATCTTCTCAGATAGCCAGTATGCAGTACTGGCCATCGGGACACTGTCCTTTTCTTTCACTAAGGATGGCACTAATCCCCTCCATGTCACTATGAGGTCACTCCAGGACATTTTAGAGTGTAGGGCCCATCCTTGGTATATCTCCCATATACTATCACACACAGGACTGCCCGGGATCCTCATGAAGGACAATGACTTAGTAGATAAAATGATTATGTCTATCAATTTAGGACTTCTTGAACAGGCTAGGGCGTTGCACCAACAGTTTCATCTCTCCCCACAAAGTATACACAAGCTCCTGCCAGAACTTGCCATCTCACAATGTAAACATTTGGTCAGATCTTGCGTTACTTACACGCCCTTGGCGCCACTAGGCCCACTTAACAGGGGAGGAGTCAATCCTAGAGGCCTCCTACCTAATGCTATATGGCAAATGGATGTCACACATCATCCACCTTTTGGAAACCCTAAATATGTTCATGTGATCGTGGACACTTGCTCCTTGTTTTTACATGCTATGGCTCTAATGGGGGAGAAGGTCTCACATATGCAATCAAGGCATTAAAATCAGCTATGTTAGTTATGGGCATTCCCTGGGCCCTAAAGACAGACAATGGCCCAGTGTATGCCTCTCAACAATTTAACTCCTTTATGGCTTCCTGGAAAATTACCCATACCTTCAGCATCCCCTATAATCCGCAGGGACAGGCCATTGTAGAGAGAACCAACATGTCTCTTAAAACTCTTCTGGCCAAGGTTACCTCTCCTGAATCTAGGTTTGACCCACATTTGGCCCTGATGGAGACTTAGTTTCATCTTAACTTCCTCACCTTTGATGACAAGGGAATGAGTTCACCTATAAACATTGGGCATCACTCTCCCAACCTACACCCTTGCCCCTTGTCAGATGGCAAGATCCCATCACATTAACTTGGCAAAAGCCTGCACCCCTGCTCACCTGTGGCAGAGGATATGCTTGTGTTTTTCCCCATGATGCAACAGCCCCAATATGGATCCCAATGAGGGACGTCCGACCGAAGACCCTGTGAAACAACAGGACTACTCCCTAAAATCTGGTGTTGGGTAAACCTCCTGGTGATCCATGCCCGCAGCGTGTCTCCTACAGAATATCTGGCATCAGTACACTGTCAACCTGGTTACCCTGCAAGTTCTCATGGCCCTCCAACATACAGGACATGAACTCCCTCCTGAGGCAGCCTAGGCATGGCTCAGTATCTTTATTGAAGAGGCCACAGTATGATCAACCTTCTATCCCCACCCCACACGCTCCTGGACAGAGAACACCTCCTTCCAGGACTGGTAGTCAATGATGGGTAAGAGCTTGCTTGACAAGCCAACCTAAGACAGGCACAGTCCCTCATGCTGGAGGCTCTCTGAGGTGGGGTCAACAAGGTCGGGGCCAAGCACCCTGGTTCCCATAGGAGTGATGCATACAAATAAATAAAAGGGTTGGATATGTAGGAGGAAGTGCTGACAGGCCTGGTAAACATACTATGGCGCATGAACAACAGTTACTTCCCCTTAAGCCAACCTGAAATCTGCCTGACCAGGGAGAAACAGCTGAAGTAAGAACACATGATGAGAGAGACCACTAAGAAAGAGACAGCATGGCACAGAGCAGCCAAGGGACCAATGGACACCAGGAGGGGGTATATAGGCATGCCCAATATCTGCAATAAACGAGTCAGTTTTACCACTTGCCCGACTCCTGGAGTCTGTTCCGTTGACTCTGCCCTTCTTACCCCCACCCCCAAGGGGCTTGGGAGCAGGCGGCAGCAACACACGCCTTTGAAAAACAAAGTATAGAATATAAGGTCACTCAAAGTCAGCATTTCCCCTCTTCTGATAACATCACATGGAATTTTCCACCTGAAAGGCAATTACCAGCAAATCTCAGACTGGCCATCAGGCAAAAGCTGAGGACAAAGAGAGACTGTTGATGGAGTGTTCCCATACCTATAGGAAGGTCAGTCCTGATCCATCCCCTCTCCCCTCTTCACCCTTCTGTACCACAGCAAATCTCCATTCTCCCTGAAAATCCCTTCCACACAGAGCCTTTGTCTCTGAGCCTACCCAGGAAAAAGAACTGATTCTCATCAGGAACTCTAAAGCAATGGCAGGCAAGGGGTGGCCTGCTAGAAACTTCCTCTGAGGACCTCACTTTGCAAGCTGGATCCCCGACACATGCCTGACACCATGTGTGGTTTAAGCCCACTTCTGTAGCCTGTGTTTTACTTATCACCAAAAGTGATCTTTCTGGACAACAGGAGAACAGGCTACAGCAAGATATGTTTAGTGGACCTTAACATATCATTAAGCTCCCCACTTAAAATACCTTTAACTCTCTTCTGTCTCTTCCCTTTACTAATGTGTGATTGATTCCAGTGACTCTCAACTGAATGATTCCTGGACATCGAACTCATTTCTCCCTACCCTTGTTGTCCTACACATGACGTTGCTCTACATGAACGACTAAGATTCTCATTACCACATTCCAGGAAGCCATCAATTTTGTACTTCTGTTTCTCAGACCAGTGTGGCAAGATGCAACTTTATGGCTCCTTATAGATGAGGAAACAGAGAGGTTGGGGTGGGAAGGTGTGAAATTAAGTCATAGAATTACTGCTGTAGAATGTCTGAGTTCAAAGCTTGTGTTATTCCTAATTGGTATTCCTATCTCTGTGCAAAATAAAGGAGAAATCCCTGAAGCCATTTCTACCTATATGTTTATTTATCCACTGGACACTGTGTGAATGAAGAGCAAAAATTTTAACCCATTTTACTGCTTCAAATATCTGACAGTTGGGGCTCATATAACAAATGGTGATGTGTGAAAGTTATGACTTGTCAGAATTTACTCTCATTAAGTCTCTATTATACTGATTTTATTTTGTTTTATGTTTATTTGACTTATGCAGATAGTTAAACATATATTTTGTTGCATAAATTTTTATGTCTTTGAGGTTTTTGTTTGTATGTGTGTGTACACATGTGTATGAGTAGGTGTGTATGCATGTGTATATTGCGTGTGTGTGTGTGTGTGTGTGTGTGTGTGTGTGTGTTGCATGTGGAGGCCAGAGGTCAATGTCAGGTGTCTTCCTCAATTACTCTCCAAATTATTTTTTGAAATATTTTATTTATTATTTTTATTTTATGTGTATGTGTGTATTGCCTGTATGTAAGTTAACCTGTGTCATGCAATGCCCACAGAGGACAGAAGAGGCTGTCAGATCCCCTGGGACTGGAGTTCCGGACAGTTGTTAGCTGCCATATGGGTGCTGGGATTCGAACCCGGGTCTTCTGCAAGAATAGCCAGTGTTCTTAACTGCTGAGCCGTCTCTCCAGCTCCTCTACAAATTATTTTTTAAGACAAGGTCTCTCACTGAAACTGGTGCTCTGATTTGGCTGGAACAGCTGGCCTGGGAAACCACAGGAATCCTTCTGCCTCCTCTTTCATGCCCAGCCTTTTCATATGGATGATGAGGATTGAACTCAGGTCCTCATGCTTGCATGGCAAGTACTTTACCAACTGAACTATCTCACCAGCTCTGCCTTTGAGGTTTATAAAGGTTGAATTTCTTTGCCTTGACTGTTTCCCTGACTGTGTGCTTATAGGCCATCCTCAGTCAGGTGTATGGGCCTGACTAATGACTGATGCCAACTAGATAAAGCACAGTCTGTGAAGGAAGTTGCCAAGCCTTCTCAGCCAGAATGGTCCTCTTTTCACAGCTTTTTGCCTGCTATTTCTCAACCCCACTCCCTCATGTTCTAGTCCCATGGCATCTCTCCTTAAATACATTTTCTCCTCATGCTAAGGACTTCTTCCTGGTTTGTCCCCAACGCCCGGAATTCTTGGCATGTTCCTCATCTAACCAGCCCAAGTTCTATACCAGGCTCGTGTGATGTCACTCTTCACTTTCTCTACAGAGCAGCTTTGCAAGTCTGCCTTTATGAAAATCCAACTCTATCCTAACTGTCTCTGTCTGTCTATGAATTCTTCCTCATTAGCTAGAATTATACTGTATAAGACAGATTCTTTCCAGAAGCTTACATGGTAGGGAAACACGCACCTCTAGGCATTATCCTATCAGAGCCCTGAACAATGGGGAGACTAGAATTCAGGTTCAAAGACAGTGTTCAAATCAAAAATGGAATGAAGAAAAGTTTTTCCTCAAGTTGAAGGAAAACTTTAACACAATTGGAAGAAGCAGGAGAAAGGGTAAGCTATTGCAAGAACTTTTGGGTAAGACCTAAGAGAAATCACATTGAGCTGTGATTGGCCTGTGTTGGCCATAGATTTTATGGCTGTATACAAAACTGTTAGTAGCAATGCCCATGGTGGACAAGCACCTCAGTGTGATGGCAAACGACCAGCAGCAGAAGGACCCCTTCTTTCAACTGCTTTGCTGGCCTTGGGCCTGTTCAAGACCAAAGATCATAACATGAATGGAGAGGAAAAAACTAGCCTGTTAGGAAATGGCTGAACTAGACATTAGTTTGCCAAGTATAAAATAGAGATTTATTTATTCCAAAGTTAAGTTTTCAAATAGAAATCCACACCTAGTACTGAACCAAGTGCCTGGCAGAGAAATCCTTACAAAGTTTGTCTTAAGTATTGAATGAATGAATGAATGAATGAATAGATTCACAGTATGATTGCTGGACTTGCAAGGATAGTGTCAAAGTGAGCTGGAGAACTGCAAGTTGGTCTATTAGTAAGCAGCAGTGAGGCCTTAGGAGAGTCCTGTTCCTCCCCTGCAGCTTAGTTTCCTGACCTGTACCATCTGTTTCAGGAGGCAGTAGATTCATAGAAGTAAATATGATTATGTTCCCACATAACTTCATTACTGGACGCTGAATTTGGATTTCATGTTATTTTCATATATCGTGAAATATTACTCATTTTTAAAATTTCTTTTCCCTATTATTTATAAACATAAATGCTGCTCTCAGCTTATGGATCGTATAAAAACAGGTGGTGAATGGCTTTGATGCATGGACCAAGATCTTCTGATCCCCTGCTGTGAAGACTCTAGAGGAGTCCTATTTAATATAGTAGTGACTTACCAAATGTGGCATTGATATTTAAATTAAATTAAAAATCAGTTCATCAAGCTTGGTGTAGTGGTGCATGCCTTTAATTCCAGCACTCAGGAGGCAGAGGCAGGCAGATATCTGTGAGTTTGAGGCCAGCCTGGTCTACATAGCAAGTTCTAGGCCAGCTGGGGTTGTGGGGAAAGAGACCCTGTCTCAAAAAGACTACACACACACACACACACACACACACACACACACAGAGTCTCTCACACACTCACACAAATCAGTTCCTCTGGCCCACTAGGTGAGTTTTAAGTGCTCAGTAGTTACATATCTTTAAACAATATTTTTAATTTTTTTTTGGTCTTTTTGAGACAGAGTCTCCCTGTAGCCCCAGCTGTCTTGGATTCACTATGGAGACCAGGCTGGCCTTGAATTCACAGAGATCCCCTTGCCCCTGCCTCCCAAGTGCTGGGAATAAAGGTGTGCGCAACCATGGCTGGCTTTAAAATTGCTTTTGACAATGTCATACATGCATTATACATATTAGTCATATCTACCCCCAAATTCTCCTTCCACTCCCCAGGACCCTTCTAACATATGCCGCTCCCAACTTCATCACCATTTCCTCCTTTTTCTCCTTCTTCCTCTTCTTTTTTAAATAACCTCTATGTCTAATTAGTTCTGTCTGCATGAGCCTGTAGTAGCCACATTTCTTGTGGCTGTCATACTGGCCAACACCAAAGGTTTCCACCAACACCAAACGAGATTCACAGTATGATTGCTGGACTTTGGATGTGATACCTGATTGCTATTCAACTGCTGGAATTTGAAGGGACCAACAAGTTGTATCATTGCCTTTGCTTGCCAAGATGGTAACGAACTGGCAAATGTCACAGGAGAAAGTGACCAAGTTAAGATGTTTTCAGAAAATCTTACATGAAATTTGGATCTCTAGTTGTGGTTAGGATGCTTAATGCCAACCACTTGAATGTTCCTGTCTCACAAACTGCATTAATGACTGAAGAACTTTCCACAGGAGGCACTAAGAATGCCTAGATGCTGAGCCAGTGACCCACAGATTCAACTGAGTGAGCCAAGCACATTTAGCCCCTTACTTCCAACATCAGTCAAATGCTGTGTCCTTTTCCCATGAGGATAAGAGAGTCAGCATGGAGGAGAGAGGCCAGGAGGGAAGTTCTCACAGAAATGTGAGACCAGAGGAATAAATGAGGGCTTTTCTCTAAAGTCAATAAACAGAATGTGGGCCAAGTGACTCAGCACGCAAAGCACATGCCTTGTAATCCTAATGACTGAGTTTAATTCCCAGAACCAACTCCACAAAGTTGTCCACTTACTTCCACATATACACCATGACGTGCACTGCCACTAACATACATCATATACACACAATAAATAGTTGATTTGAGACATAATGAACAATTTGTAATGAATTCAACTGTCTGCTCTCTCAAATGCCTTAACCTCTCTTAATACTATTCTGTGGACCCTCAACTAAGACTTGTCCAAAGTGGAATAAAGCAAACCAGATGCTCTGAATATCTCTAAATCCCTAGAGAAATAGTCCATTTCAGCTTCTCTCTCTCTCTCCTCTCTCTCTCTCTCTCTCTCTCTCTCTCTC